GGTGTGAGGCCATATTTCCTTTTCTGTATGGACACACACATACATACATAATCTTACTGGTTTATCCTACATGCATGCATCCTATTGGTTCTGTTTCTCTGCAGAACCTTGACTGACATATTTCCCTCTGTAAAACCAGCTGATGAACCCTCAGCTCTGGCTAGGTGGCAACATTCTACAATGTTCACCCATCTGCATCTATCAGCTGAGTTATAGGCTCACAAAGGGTCAGTTACATTTGTTCCTACCTCTGTTTTTTCTCATTGAACTTGGTATTATAGTTACCTAATTTGATGACATCATGCAACCTGATAAAATAGGAGTGTAAAAAATGAATTATATTTTTATTATAATTTGATTAAAGTAAGTCAATGCTTTCCGGATATTCAATAAAAATGAGTCACTAAAAATGGCTAAATGTGGTGAGTCAAATGTAAAAGAAAAAATATGGTAAAAATCCTGGACTCTGGATTCAGATTGTTTCAAAGTGTTCTGAGTGTTGGCTCTACTTTAAAGAAATCAGAACTGCAAATTATAAACAAATATAAAATGTGGTTTATGCAAGAAGAGCATTGGGAACTCCCATCAGGAGACACACTTTTAAAGAACAGTTTTTCACTCTTCATTAAAGAGATGTAAATATATTCTTTTTGTTCTAGGCTAAATTAAAGGCTAAATTAAATAAAATTTCTTTTTACTAAATAGGCATTAGGTAATGGAGATTCTCCTGAGCGTAGACACTAAGCGTAGACACTGAGCGTGTCTTGAACAATATGGATAGAGGCGTCTGCCAGCCCTCCATTTGCAAGTTGCCTCTCAGAGTCTGCATAGCCAACCCCTTTCTTTTCTTGAGTGTTGGGGCCTGAAGGCATCACCATGCCCTGAGCACACCCTGAGGTCCCTGGTCCTAGAAGGCGGCAGCCCAGCCACACAAGAGGGCGGAATCCACACAAGAGGCCATGTCCCCAAGAGTGCCGAGCCCAACCCACACACAAAGATGCTCCATAAATGTTAGCTGTTCTTCCTTCTAAATCACTACCTTTCTATCTGACTACCTGTCTGACCGCCTACAGAAAATGGGGTTTAATTCCAGGCACACAGAAAAAGAAACACAGAGTCTGGAGTGTTAATAGTACTGCCTTCTCTGTGCTCTTATTATTTTTTTATTCCAATATTCCTTCTGGCTTCCAGAGGTGGAGTTCCACCCAGAGGTCACCAAACTTTCTCCATGAAGGGCCAAGTAGTAAATATTTTAAGATTTGTGGGCCAGAGAATATGGTAACTATTCACTCTGTTACAATGGCTATGAAGCAGCCACAGACAGTATAGAAATGAATGGGCTTGGTTGTATGTCAATAAAACTTTACTTAAAAAATGGGCCGCAGGCTGGATTTGCCTATAGACCATAGTTGGCTGAACCTTGTGTCTATGACAAGAGTTCTGAACTGAATGAGGGATGAGTAAAACCTCGGAAAGTATATGCAGATTTTGGTAATGTGTTTTGCTGGACAGAGGAATCATAATTTTCTTCTGATTTCAAAAGCATTTTGATCAATAACTTTAAGAAACATTGCTATAAAGAAATGGTCTCTTCTAAACCCCCGTGGCATTTAATTTTTAAAACACTGTAATTTTCATGCTCTATTTTTAAAACTTTATTTTGAAGTAACTATAGATTCACAAAAAGTTGGGAAGTTAGTACAGAGAGGTCCTGGGTCCCCTTCACTTAGTTTCTCCCATGGTTACGTCTTACATAATTATAGTATATTACTGAGACCAGGAAATTGACATTGGTACAATATGTGAGTATAGTTCTCTGACATTTTATAACATGTGTAGATTTGTGTAACCACTACTGTAAATCAACAACTAATCTATTTTCCATCTCTATAGATACTTTTCCTTTCATGAATGACCTTTCATCACTCTGCATAGTACCCTTGAGATAACCGCTCAAGTTGTGTATCCTTAATTTGTTCCTTTTTCTTGCTGAGTCATATTCCTTGGTATGGATACACCACACAGGTTGCTTAACCATTTACTCACTGAGGAACGTTTTGGTTATTTCCAGATTTTGGCAATTATACATAAAGCTGCCATGAACAATTGTGTATAAGATTTTGTGTAGACATATATTTTCTTACCACTGGGATAAATGCCTAAGAGTACAATTGCTGAGTCATATGGTAATTGCATATTTAGCTTTTTAAGAAAGTGTCAAAGTGTTTTCCAGAGTTAATAATTTATTTTTAAAAAATGGCGTGAACATATGCCATGAACATGCGTAAGAAAACATAAAAATGCAAGAATTACAGAAAAATCTAAAATCTTTCCTTATGCACTGCCCAGTCCCAGACTTCCTCCTCCTAGGTCATTAGTTAGGTGTACATCCATTATTCCTACATTATTATTCCAAAAGTCCTTGGTTGTGGGGGGTCTTTCTATGGAGTAGCTATAAATTGTTTTCAGTCCTTTTTAACTGATGAGTAGATACACCATAATTTATTTAAGCATTCCTCATAGTTAAAGACTCTGGTTATTTCCAGTTTTCACTGTCGTCAAGAAATGATGAAACAAGTATCTCTCTGATGCTTCTGTGTGCACATTTGTATTTCTCAAAGACATACATTTCTGATATTTATGGATACTATCAAATTGCCTTCCTAAAGAATGTATCAATCAATACTCCTGCCAGCAATGTATCAGTTTCTTCACACCCATATCCAACTTGATATTGACTTTATTAATTGTATTGATTAATCTGAGTGCAAATATTTTATTGTTATTTGTATTTCCCTGGTTAACAACGAGGCTGCACATTTTTCTTTATAACTTAATCAACCATTTTTATGTTACTTCTGTAAATAACTATTTGTATTCTTAGACCATTATTTTTTCTCTTTTACTATCTTTTTCTTATTGATTTTTAGTAGCTCTTTATTGCTTTTGGATATTAACCTTCTGGAAATTTTATATATATTGCAAATATTTTCCCAAATCTGTCACTCATTTATTGAATTTGCTTTTGCGATGTGTGTGTGTGTGTGTGTGTGTGTGTGTGTTACACAGCTAGCATCATTTAGTTTAGTCTTGTGTTGTGTAGTCACATCGATCAATCTTTCACTTTATGTCTCTTAGATTTTATTTTTGCCTAAGAAGTCATCCTTATTTCAAATTATGGAAATACTCCCTTATATGTTTTCTAATGTTTCTGGTCTGCAAACTACTGGAACTAATGCTAGGTGTTTCATCTGGCACATTAAATCTGGAATCTTAGATTAGAGCACTGATCTCGACAAATTGGACCTGATTCAACATTGTTTCATTCTCCTGGGCCTCATATCATTACAATTCATTCCTAAATTACTCCCCAGATTTATGCAAATATGTTACAAAATCTTGAAATTCTTTTCATGTGTAAGGTGTCTCTTCCCCAAACTTCTTATTTCTCCCCTTGAGACATGCTGGAATCTACTCTAAGCATACCTGGGTAAGACATGGGGGGTGGGGCTTAAGGAGTCTTATCATTCCCTCTTAAGTAACTGTGTAAGATGAGGTCATTAAAACTCTTCACAAGGGAAAGTGTTTTTGTTTTTGTTTTACAAAAAGGAAGAGAAGGGCTGCTTCTTTTGGCCAAGGAGGTTCAAGGGATTTGGGGTTCAAGATGTTCAGATTCATTTGAGTCCACTTACAGTCTCCATTTCATTTCTCAGGAGTCCACTCCTTCCCATCCATTCTGTAATTTAAATTTCAGAGACATGGCTAGGCTGTGAGTTTAATCTATGATGTAATTCTTAACCCATAGTTTCAAATTTTGAGCCTGTTTTTCAGTGGTATCAGCCTTGCTTCCACAAAACTCAAGGTCTTTTAGGGCCGTCATAAGGAGCTCTCAATTCTCTGGCAATGCCTCAACCTGACACTTGAAAGCCTAAAGTTTTTATGTTCTTTTTGTAATTTCTCCAGTGGAGTCAGAAGCAATAAGCTCTACCCCAGAGATCCTGTGGCCATAGTTTCCACTGTGGTGATCAAATTCAACAGTCCTTTGGCCTCCCAAAGTCTTGCTTTAAATAGATACTTCATTTCAGGTAGTCACAGCTTTTATTACTCAATTTTAAGTAACTGTTTTGTGACCGAATGTCATTGAGAGATACTGTCAGGAACTCACTTATCCTTGGCAATAACGTCATCAATGTGTTCAATCCCAATCACATCGTTTAACAAACTGCACATTTTCCTATTTGGGCATCTATTCCCTAGGTGTGGTCCCAAGTATGAATTCATGTTAATATTAATTCATGTTGAATCAGCAAAACAGACACCACTATAGGTATTTCAGAGAAAGGCAATTTAATACAGGCACTCGTTTACAAAACTGTTGAGCGAAAGGGAGAAAGGTATGCTAGAGAGAGAAGAGGGTGTTTACATAAGACCAGGAAATAGCAATTGCTCCTGGCTGGGGCCTGAGATCCTGTTCTTGCCATGAAGTCAATGAGGCATTGATGTTGCTGCTGCTATTGCTATTAAAAGTGCACCCATGCCATCGAGCAGTGACCAGGAACCCACATTCCTTTGGTTCAGGTTGCCAGCAACTTTTACGGCCGCTGCCCAAGACACCTTCATGATATAGGGGAAAGAAATGTCTCTCTTGCTCCTATCTTCTTATCTGGCCAATGCTACCCATTGGTCGAGCCTTACAAGAAGCTGGGTGGCAAAGGGCCGGGAATGTGTAGTTGTAACTCCTGATGTTACAGAAGAGAATTTAGAAGGACAAGTATGTGCTCTTTCTCAGGACAATACTGGGAGATGTGCTTCTTCAAGATGAGGGAGAAAGCCAAGAATAAAGAAGACTTCTGACCTCTGAGACAGGGAATCCCTCACAAGAAAGAGGCACCAGAATGCTCAGGACGGTGGAGAAAGGAGAGCCCAGCGCAACCACTGTGCCGTAGGCCTTAATATCAGCCAGGCTACCCTGGACCAGGAAGGCTGCAGGCTCCAGGTGGGAGGGCTCCCTGGAAGAAGGAGCTGTGTCTGAATGCACTGAGAGACTTCTTGTTTTATCAGAGAGTTAGGGGAAAACTGATGGTGCATATATAGAAAACAAGCAATAAAAACCAAGGCTCAAGAGAAACAAAATGCTGTGAAAGAGTAAAAGCATGATCATAGTACACTATGTGGCTCAGCTGTTAAAAATAGTTACGCAGCCATAACAATGTGAATGTCAACTTTTGATTGAATAAAAATGTGATAACACGGAGTGTGAAGAGAAGAGAGAAGTTGTGGTTTGGGATGAGGAGAGATTTGAAGAGAGCTAAATCTTTATATTTTATATAAAAAAGTCAATAGGTAATGAAAAAGTCAAGAGGTGTCCATTTAAAGCAAGTTATTCAGCTATGTAAAGATAAATCACAAGGGAAAAAAAAATCCAGCTAAAATAGTTGAAAATTATTCCAGAGGCATTGATAGAAGTGGAATGGGGTAAGGAACTTTTGTTTTTCATTAGAGGCCTTGAGGTATTCAGCTTCTAAAAGCTTTTATTTACTATATTACCATGGTAAAATATTAATATAATTTTTTAAACCACAAATTTAGAGCAATTTTTGTTGGAGTGAAACTTTCCCATGTTGGTTTATTAAGCCAACTTCAATACTGCTTTTTATCAAACTCGTCTCAAGATTTTTTTGTAAAAAGTACACATTTGTACTCATTCAGTCTAAATAGGGGAGATTTAGTGATTAATCAGGTTGTAGTTCTGATTCTTTTATTTTAGGTTCCTTTAAAGTCTAACCCAGATGATAATGAAGGTATTTAAAAAATTTTTCACACATGACACTGAAAAGCCAATTTAAAGTTCCTGACATACATTCCAGACAACTTGATATTATTTAACTGTAGTATATCTTTAAGAAAACAGGGTCTCTGCTCCCACTTAATTGTTTTTCAGATCTTTTCTATTTTGTTTCCCTGGCCCACAATTCCCCTATGTGTTTTGGTTTGATATCATTGTGGAGAAAGGAATAAAATAAAGAAATACAAAGATGAAAACAATTCCCAGCACACCAATGGCATTGTCCTACGAATTCTGGGAATGGAGTGAGCTGGTGGGCTTTGGTGGGATCTGGTCCCATGGGAAGATTTTAATATAGTAGGACAACAAACTCTATTCGGCTATAGGTCTAAGTTTGTAGGGTTCAAAGGGGAGTAAGGTTGAGTTGCATGGGCTTTGTGGTGAATGGAGGAATCTCTGGTCTGGACTTGTATCTTCACAGCAAGGCCGTGGCAATAGTGGTCTCTTCTTAGTTTAAGGGAATGTCTAGTTTCTTGACTTGGAGGTAAATCATCTTTTCTTTATTTTTTCTTGGTCTGCAGTAATAAAAAACATGGAGAGGGGATAAAGAAATTGTGAGGAGGCTGAAAAACAAAATCAAGTGGGTAAGAAATAAATGGAACAACGAATGGATGTAAGCTTTGACCAGGCACAGTCTTGCAGTGTGTTCTGAGTGGTGATTCCTAAAAAGAAAATTGACAGAGCTTGGTGAATAACTTATGTGATGGAACAGTTCCAAAAATGCTCCTCTGGGAATGGGACTTGCCTATGTTCCTTATTTAAGGTGATCACTTTTCTATGTAATAAGAGGATGCAGGTAATGACGACATTTAATCTTATATTGATTAAAAATGATGATTGCAAAATCTAGACACCGTTGTCATTAGTTCTTGTAAATACAATTTTAGAAATTATCCTTACCAATGCTTATTTATTTTTCAACAGCTGGGCAAGTGAGAAATCAAATTGCAAATCTTCTCAATCATCTTATCTTTATGAATACTGGGAAGTTGCTGATCCTCATGATAGAAATTCTGCTTTCTTCAACCTGCTGTTCCCAGACATGCCCTTTGGACATGCTTTGCCTGATAATGATATTGAAATCTGGAGTGGGGCTGCCCCCGTGTCCCCGAGCTCCTCACAAAATTTCCCTCGCCTCGGGGTGTTTAGTCCTGCCTCAGCTTCTGGGCCAGCCTGAGACAGGGAGTATAGCAGAAGCCCACCCGAATCCCCTGGCAGTGCTGGGGTTCTCTCAGCCTCCAGATGTAGGGGCCCAAGGAAGTCGGTGGTGCTCCCAGGGTCTCTATGCCAACAACAGTAACAGCAAAAGCAGCAGCAGCAACAACAGAAATAACAATAGCAATAGGAACACCAGCAACAACCGGAATAACACCAACAGCAATAATAGTAACAACAGCAACAACAGCAGCAGCAATAGTAACAATGGCAACAACAGCAGCAACAACAGTAACCACAGAAACAACAGGAAAAAC